AAGTGAAGGCCAAAAGCTGTGAAAAGAGTTGTTGCTGTCTCTTATACACATCTAGATGTGTATAAGAGACAGCATATACACACATCCCACATCTCCTCCCTTGCAAGCCCTGGAGAAGGTTGAACCACTAAGGAGGAATTTGCTCCAACACAAATGAATGGCAAACGGAATACATGGTCGAGTGCTGTCTCCACTCTCAGGCTTCGTTGTGCCGGGGGTTGCATGGGTAGGAGTGGATGGCACGGATTTGCAGTGTGGGGTTGAAAAATGGACCGGCAGCTCGGCTTGGATGTTCCTGGGGATGCAGTAAGTGGACTGAATGAATCGTCAAATTGCTGATATTTTGCATCTGGAGACGTTTTCAAATCATTGACTTCGATGCCATCACTGGACATGCCTGCAGCAGGCTTAGAACTGGTGCCACATAATGTCGCCTGTGTTTACCCTGATAGTGAAATATAGTGAATGCACCGATCAACGGGGTCAGAGATTCTTTATGTTTCCAGAAAGCCTGTGTTTGGCTATTTGGGCATGGTTTATGGTGCGCCGTGTAAGGCGTATTTCGTCGATATCGGACGCCGACTGAAGGCAGGCACGAAGTGCAGCAAGACATGCTGGACACGAAAGCAAGACGCAAAGAAGTGGGCGTCCGGTCTCCTTGTTGACTATCTATTCCCCAAGTTTGGACATACAACCTCCACTCGAATTTGACCCTATTTCGACACTTCTGCTGACACGTGTGACCCTGTTGCCTAGATCCTCTGTGCCCACCTTTGTGCCATTATCGATACCCATATTTTTGGCCCCTCAAATAAGTTATCAGGTGCCTTTCTTCCGACTGAGAGCTGTCCCATTACATCTGCATTTCCCAGATACCATATTGGCACGCTGAGGGCATACTTGCACTAGGACGTTTTCTACTAAGCTCTGGACGTAATTGCAGTCAGATTGATCCAGGTCTGGCCGTGACCGCAGTCAGATGCATGTAGGAAAGTGTGAGTATGCCCTGAAAGAATCTGAGGACCCACATGTGCGTGGAATCTTGTTTCTTGCTATGGTTTTAGGTCAGTAGCATTTTGTTGATCATGGTAGTATCATCCCCATCTTTATCAAGCCACATGATGTGGTGCGGAAGTGTTTGACTGTGGTGACAGAGCGCCAAATCATGCTCTTCAATTCCCAATGAACTACCGTCTTCCACCGAACACAACGCACCCTTATTTTGGCTGTATCTGGCCGGAAATATAGCTTGTATATATTCATTTTTAGGGTGCGTTATGTTCGGGGGAAGACGGTAGGGTTCATTGTAGAGTATAGGCTTTCAAAGGCACAAGTTCAAACCCAGGCTGGAAAGTTCCTTGTATGAGAATTGCGAATGAGGGAAGATATCCCATAGATGCAGGATAGCACAAGGCCAGTTGAAACCACCCGAAAAAAGCAAACAGCGACCGAGCTGTTTGGGACTATGTTGCTGTCTGAACGTGCTGAGCGCGCGTTCACGTTCGAATTGGGCGCGTTCCGATCGCCATGTGGCGTCTTCAAATTCGCCACGTGGCAGACACAGGGAGAAAAATGAATGCGCTCCCCCTGCTGGCGGACACGCATCTGAAGCCACCGGGGGGGTATAAAAAAGTAATATCGTGTGCGTGCGTGGGTGTGTGTGTGTGTGTTGTCATATTCGCTATACGCTCCAAAAAAGCGTGACTGTGGTTAACTGTTTTGTTGGACTTTCACCATCTCATTGGGAGGTTGTGTTTGTGTTTGTGTGTTGTGTGTGCGTGTGCGCCTTGGTTCCGAACAACTGTGCGAGTGAGCGCGAGGGCACATACACACACACACACACACAGATCCTGCGGTGTATATCTGATTTGTGGTGGCGTTGCAGGCCTTCGGAGAGGGCTCTACAAATTTGTTTTTAGGCCATTGGCATGTGTGGTCGGTGCTTTTTGTTAGTGGAGCCTTTTGTGTTATATGCTGCTTTGTGGTTTTGTGGGCCGATGTGGATGGCTCTCCAAGTTTTTTCGGACCTATGGCGGATGGGGTCGGTGCTTTCTTCCTGGTGGAGTCCTCTGTCTTAGGTTAGTTGCTTTTAGCCCTCCGCCCTTTTATGGATCAATTAAATATATGTATATATCGTCAAACAGATGTATATGTGCAAGTGTGCCGCTTCGGTGGCGTATGGGTGTGTGGGCACTTGGCACTGAACCACACAAACGTGGCCAACCTTGCATTTTCTATTTTACTGTCTATCTATACTTTTTCGTTATTTGATGGTTTGTTATGATTTGTGGAGGAATGAGAGAGAGAATTTGGGGTGTTTTAACAAACACGCATCTCCTGATGAGTCGGTGGAGAGAATCTGGGTGCTTTAACAAACACGCATCTCCTGGCAGAGTGTAGGGGTTCAACCTCCTGATGAGTCGGCGGAAGTCCGACGAAACAGTCTGGTGCAGTCATGCCTTTTTTTAGTGTATAGCGAATATGACAATACATGAAACGGTTTTCACCTTTTAGCAGTAGCGGATGCAGTACCCAGGGTTCGATCCCTAGACCTCACCCTACCCATGTACAGTATCTGTGTAGACCCCGAGAATTGAACCTGTGACCTGTGTATTCGTAGGCAGCTGGTAGGCCTGTTGTAGGTCCATAGGCAGCAGGGGTTCGATCTGTAGGTCTATAGCGTAGGAGTCTTAGTGAGTTCCGGAAGCTTAGCTGTAGACCTTCTAGAAGGTAGGCAAGTGGGCAAGTGGTCAAGTGGTGAGGCAAGTGGTGGACTAAACCGCCGTGCAACAGCAGTACAACGTCGATAGCGGTGAGTCCACAGTCAGTCAGTGGAAGGTCCAGTCAGTCCCAGTCCGGTCCAGCAAGTACCACAGGGGGACTGTGAGCACCAAGGGCCGATGGCAAAGGGAAGACCAACGAGTTTCTGAAGTATAAATCAAGAGGCAGCGCCCAGCCATTCATTCATTCCTGCGTGAGCCATGCCTAAGCGCTGCCACAGCGACTTGTGCAAGGAGGTCTGCAGATGAGCCCGGAGGACGCAGTGGGCAAGAGAGAGGGAATTAGTCTAGCGATAGGTTAGATGCAGCGATAGCTGCCATAGCTGTAGTTAGTAGTGAGTGTGTGTGTGTGTTCGAGTGTTAGAGTGATGCATGTGGGATATCCAGGGTGATCCAGTGTATGTGAACAGTGAGATGTTTGGGCGCTGAAGTCGTCATAGCCAATTAAGAGTGAACTCGTGTCTGAAAGCCATTTCTCTGAGTTTTGAGTGGGCGCATGTCGCCAGTATGCTGCATTGCTGTTTACATGCATGAAAAGTGTGTTTGAGAACGAGTCTGATTGCACACACACACACGTGAGATCCAATCGATTCGATCAAATCGATCGAATGGATTCAATCGATTCAACGAATGTGATCGATAATCATGTGTTTGTGTGTGTGTGTGTGTGTGTGTGTGTGTGCATGTGTGTGTGTGTGTGTGTGTGTGCGCGTGCGTGCGCGTGCATGCGTGAGAGCAGTGGAGGCGCGTGTGCCGGCACGCGCTAGAATCGACCATTCAAATGAATGGATCCAATTGATTCAATCGATTTAATGGAATGGATAGAATTGATTCGATTGCGCGTTTTCACTCCACCACACAAAAAGTTTTTTTTTTTCTTTTTCCATTTTCTCAATTTTTCTGTTTTTTTTTTTTTTTAATCATATAGACTCTATAGAGGAATGTACGGGGAGCCTGCACCCCTTCCACAACCCCCCCTGCCGAACACCCCGCCCCCCCCCCCAGACGTGTCTCAGCCCAGCCGCAAACGCGTCGAACGAAATCACCCGGGATCAGTGAACGGACATTGAAAAACTGAACGTGGAACCTGCGTTCGTTGAATGCCTGGTTACACAGGTATGGGATCCTCAGAGATTTAATGACCTGTGTGATTCAGGCCAATGATCTGTGTGTCAGAGTGTGTGGTCCGCCACCTCATCCACTCGCCAAAACCAGAGACTTGGGCTTTCTTTTGGATTCAGCCATGTGGCTTGTGTAGATGCTACACAAGGGGATGACCAGAAGGGTTGTCTTTGACTATCTTCAATTATTTCTAGAATTAAGCTGAGTCAACAGTCCCTATAAGCCCCTGCAAACCTCCTCAACCCCTTCTCACAATCCCGGCCTCTGAGAGTCTGAACTCCATTTCCAGAAACTGCCCTGGATTTGGCATCTGCACATTCGCTTGGATCCTGGGAAAGGGTGAATGAAGGATCCGAAGGATCCGTATGAATATTTCCTCGCCGGCTGTGGCCTGGACCGATCCCACTCAGGCCGTCCGGGCTCAGCATGGGACCAGTTTGGCCCTGGGACGCATGGACTTCATGTTGGGCACCTCTCAAGGCCACCATTTTGGCCCTATTCAAGGCCAGGTAGGTTGGGTGTGGGTGTTTTTTCTTGGTGTGACTAGTTTATTTTTGTCTGTGCCAGGTTTTGTCCAGTCTGGATGTGTCATTTGGACCTTTGTCCTGGTCTGGGCCTGTGTTCAGGCCCAGTGTCCGTTCCTTAAGCCTGTGGAACTTGGGCTGAACCTTTTTTTTGAGGTTCAGCCCTGTTTGTGTCCTTTTGCAGTGCTGGGGGCAGGCCATGTTTTTGACCCAGTTGCTTGACTGTGTCCATGGCCTGCATAGAGGACTGCGGATCGCTTGATAGATTGATGGCCCTGGATCCAGGCCACCTTGAGATCAAGTAGGCCAAGTGCTATAGATAGATGAGCCCAGTACTGATAAGGCATGCACTGTTTGGAGGTCACACTTCGGCATGCTGCTTGGATGCAGCGTTCAAGGAGTAGCGCTACATTACCTTTACAGATAAGAAGTAGCAGAGCATATCCTTTTTATTTGTTTAGGCAAAATCATTTTTGGTTCACCAAACACTTCTACATTTTCTACTCCAAAATTGAATTCATCTCCAGCAGAGGTCCTCGGACTTACCTGGGTGCCATCACTGGAGTTCCATTGGTTGGCCACAGTTGGGCTCGACCTGCAGCACAGGACAGCTAAAGACTTCACCTTTCGCTGGTCAGTATCTGGTTGAGAGAGAGAGAGAGAGAGAGAGAGAGAGAGAGCTTCTTCCTCCTTTTCTTAGAGATTTTTCTCCTCTCTTTTATTCTTTTTCCATCTTGCTCCGCCCTACGTATCCACCTTCCTCTTCTACCTCACACACACACACACACACACAGACAC